ACTTTCTTTCACTACATCTGGATGGGACCCAGGGTCACTCTTAGTTGCAAGGCAGGCATGGAAAGGAAAAGAACTGCCAGGAGTGGCTCAGACCAAACAACACACCCATCCTGCCCCTGGGAAGCCACATACCCAAGGAAAACCAAGGATCAGTTAGCTCAGAAGAGTGACTGGCTACAGCTTAGGTCACAATCAGTGCCTGTCCTGAGCTGCTCTCTCCCCAGACCTTTAGCACCAACCTTGTTTTTATCAGAATTGCTTCAGTCCTGGTATGTTTTTCTGCCCCTGAACATTTGTCCACATGTCATTGTCTGGGTCCCTTTCTGTATCTTTGCCTTGAAAGGACAGACTGAGAGTGGGAAGCCATTTTTCAAGTTGTTCTTAAACGCTGACACAATGATGAGAAAGTAGAAGCTATGCTTTTGGAGAAATGGACACTTTAGGTAAAATTAACTTTACCAACTTTGTCTTTTCAGAAACAGACTTCCTGGTGCCAGGTATTAGAGGTATCTCATAGTGTCAATCAAGCTTGCGTAAAGGGAATTTACAAGGCCTAAGATATCATACATTGGTCAAGGATTGTAAAAGTCATGAAACTTGTAATTACAAAAGTTATAACCGCTCAGAGAGAGAGAAGGTAGGGATTCTATCTTCCAGTAAATTGGGCACTATCTACAGGGAAGCCAAGGATCCCCCGAATGCCTAGAGATAAAGGGAAGTGTACCCATTAGTTCTAAGGAATGTTGTTTGGGAAGGTGCGGGAGAATTAGAATCCTTGTCACGTCCTTCTCTAGGGACTGTGATAATGTGGGCAGACATTAATGGGTCTCTATGTCACAGGTTCTCCAAGACATCCACAGGTGGGCGATAAGGAAGTCATGGTAGTCACATGCAACATCTCCAAGAAAAGGATTTAAGCCAGCGCTTTGGGGGGCTACGATGCCACACTCACCTAGAGTGTAGGTCCACTCCCTGTCTGTGGGGGGTGAACTTTTCTTAAATAAATCTTTTCTTCTCTCACCTCTATGTGTTGCAATTCTTTGTGTTTACTCGGATCTCTGGATTCCCAGCACTGCACCTCCGGCTTGCCAGCTTGGGCAGTGCTACGCCTCTCCCTCTCCATCGATTCACCCTCACCCTGTCTGTACCCTAACATGCCTGATGATGACTATGTGCCACCTTCACTCAAATGCCACCTTCACTCAAATGCCACGTCCACCGTGATTTCCTCTGTCCATCTCTCCTCCCTGGAGACGGGCGGTTCTCTTCCTGGGTTCGTCAGTGTCTCGTTGTGTGTCTTCCAGCAACTTCAGATTCTATTTTCCTCTATTTTTTTCTTATCAAAAATGTGAGCATCTTGTGGGAAGTCCTTCTTTTTTATCACAGTCATATTACAAAGCAATACAATACAAAGCAATGAGAGCACCACATCTTTCCTAAACGTTGCTAATTGAACTAGGTATCCGGGTCTCAACTTAAAACATCTGAGACCCAAGAGACAGTAGAAATAAGATGAGAGAGGAGCCCAGGACAAATGCCTTAGAGGTGGTTCCAAGTCAGAACTGACCTGGAAGGGCAGTCGATGGTGCTAAAGGTCTTTTGGGCTAAGGAATGAGAAGGTGTCCTGCAGCCCTGCTGGGGTGGGAGTGACACTGGGTGATGCTGGAGTGTGACTTGGATGGTGGTAATGGTGCAAACACTGATGTATTTGGCACAAACAGGACTGATCTAGAATTGCTTCCTGGGCCCTGGGGCTCTGAGTCCTGAGGCTCATCCCTCCTCATGCCTTAAACATCCCAGGAGGGTTTACATCACCAGACAAGGAGTTGATGAGACAGGATACATGAGGTCACTGGTTTCAACTCCTGGTCACCTGAGCAGGAAACCACTCAAGGAGGAAGGCAGGAAAAGGAACCACGTATGGCATCTGAGGCAGAAATGTTGGCAATGTGGTCACATTCATGCAAAGGAATAGTATACCATCATGGGTAATTTAACATTGAGCAAAGGAAGACAGATACAAGAGAACATATAGGGTATATTTTCTACCACTTAAAGTTCAGAAAGCTGGCAAAACTACATTGTTTAGGGATATATGCTTCAGTGGTAAAAACACAAGGCAGATCAAAAGCCTTAGCAAAAATATCCAGATGGTAACTAGGAGTAGCGGGGTGGGGTGGCAGTCAGTGATAGGAGGAGGTGGAGTCACCCTCTCATCCTTGACCTGGGTGATGGTACAGGCATTAGAGGTGATTCACTGAGTTGAACATCTTTGTCTTATGTAATTGTTTTATATTTGTTCATTAAAAAAAGAACTAAAAATCACATGGACCATAATAACTGAATATTTTGCAAGAAGACATAGCAAGAAAATAACGCAACATGTTTTTTTATGTGGGGGAATAAAATAAAAGTAGAGATAGGAGGAAATTTAAAAAATCAAAAAAAAACTAGAGGGACCATGCAAAAGGTCATTGATTGATGGTTAAATTCAAAAGTTGAGAGTGACAAATAACCCAGCCTCTGAGCCTGAGGCAAAACAAAAATTTCAGCAGAAAAATTAAAGCTAAAACATAAAAACTAGTTTTTAAATATGTGGACATGATACAAAATCTAAAAGCTATACAGGACTCAGGAAGAAATGAAATTTACTCCAGCCCTGACCACTTGTCCCCCAGGTCCCCTGTCAAAGGCATCAATCACCCACTCCAAATTTTCTGTGTGTCCTTTCCTGGAGGCTTCTCAGTATGGCTGAGGATGGATTGAGCCAGTGAGCCAGCAAAGTCTGGTACTGGGGAAGTGTGGACAGAAATGGGAGGGGAGGCCAGGCTGAAGTGAGATGACCCATGCAAACAGAGGGTCTGCTGGGCTCTGAGTGAGACCAGATACAGGAGCACCAAAGTCTGAATCAGGCTCCTCAGTCCATGGGAAGAGTTTCACCAGAGGAGAGGGCAGACGTAGACTCCACCATGAGTCAGCGGGGCTGTCCCCAGAGGCCCCTAGGATGCTAATGCTGACATACAGGATCCTGGTTCCTATCCTGGGCCAGCTTTCCTTCAACAGGTTGGGGCACATCAGAGCCAAGGGCATGGCCAACTCTTACACTGACTACTTTGCATAGAGGAAGGAGGAAAGACTTGACGGGAAGTCATTGCCATGAGGCTGAGAGGGAACTTTGCCCACTCCCTGCCTCTAGGCCCATTCCATGGGGGTCACTCCACCACTGAATATAGACAGTGGGACCCAGGGCAGGTCAGGCACCTCCTTGGGATGTTGCATGAGAGTCAAGACTAAGAAATGATGTCAGGACTCAGGGTTCTGATTCCGTCTTCCATCATCAGCTGGGGACTTTGCTCAGCTCAAAGCCCTCTTTGAATTTCCTTGATGGTCATCAGACACCCACCACAGGTCTCCTGTGAAGCTCTGACCTAAGATGGCAGTGAAGTGGCCCTGCCTTCCTACCTGAACTTTGAGTTTCCTCAGGGCCTGATGTCACCTAAGAGGTTTAATAGACAGGGTAGGAGTAATCAGAATTTTCTGGGATTAATTCCTCGATTTTGATGTTTACTAACTCAGTAAACAGGACTTTCTGAATCTTTTTGAACTTCAATTTCCTCTTATTAAAATGGGAATCAAAATGTCTACCTCATAGGGTTAAGAAGATTAGAGGGGAGGTGTATGTACTGCAGATATCTTCATGCCTGGCACACACATACAAAAAAAAACGCTCAGAAAAAGGCAGTGGTAGTTAAAGTTAGCTATCAGAACAAGTTGGTAGAAAGCCTGACTGTGTGAACAGAGACTGTGCTGCCTTCTGAAACTCCATCTTCTTTACGTCCATGTCCCTGAATTTTCCCCACCACTTCCTGTCCTATTCTGACACACGCACTAGCTACCCCAGCCCCAGATGAAGGTTAGGAGGGGAGACAGTTCCAGGTGAGGTCTCTCGGGAGTTGCACATCAGGTCACCTGAGACTCTGACTGCCAAAGTTGAGCTCAGCCTCTTGGGTGTGTCCCACTCACCTGAAGTGGGGCAAGGCTCTGGAAAGCAGGCACTGAGGTGGCCCCGGGGCCTCCAGTCTCCGGGAGGAGCGAGGCAGAGCTGTATAAAGGCACAGCTCTTTGTCCGGACAAAGATCTCACTCGTCCTCCTCCTCCTGACGCTTCCCCAGCTCCGGTGAGTCTCACCTGTCTCTTTGCCTTTTCTAGGAGAAGTGCCCAGTGCCAGCTGCTGTGCTGCCTGTTGTGGGTGAGGATGCAGGAGCCTGGGGTCTGGTCACAGCTCTGCCACCTGCAGGGCAGTGTGACCTGCACTCTAAGCCTGGGGGTCCTCGCCTGCACAAGCAGGTGACTGGATCAGACCCTGTCCATTGCTCCCTTTGGGTCTACTAAGACAACGTTTATGGGAGCTGAGGACAGGTCTCTACCTTTCTTCCTTGTTTCCTCTTCCTGGATTCTCCCTCCTGTCAGGAGGTCCAGGCTGCTGAACTCGCTGCCCACCCTCACCCTTAGAGAGTGCAGAGCTAAGGATCTCCTGTGGAGGCTTTCCTAACCCCCAGGCCTAGGACCTCCCACTCCACATTGGGCCTGGTGATATGACCTGCCCCTATCTGGGTGAGGTACTCATACGACATGCTCCCTCATTCTCTGCTACAACCTGGGAAATTCTCAGTCACTCACTGGGCACAAGGCTCAGTTCTTTTCTATGTTATTGACACCCAAATTGCGCTGCTTCTCCATCCTGTCTCTGATCCCCAAGCTGAATGTCTGTTCTTCTCTTACATCTCCCTTTGGTCTCTGACCAGGATGGGCCAGGTTCCAGACTTGGTCCTGCCTCCCCTTGTTGAGCAAATTCTCCCATCACATGGACAAAATTTCCTTCTGTTCCATCTGAGCCTTACCTTCACTCTGTCCTCAGTCCTCATTCCATCAATCACATATGGACACACAACTCACAGGAAGCAAAACAAGCACATTGTCTGTCTTCTCTGCAGACTTTCTGAAAGCCAAGATGAGCAACACTCCAGCTGAGAAGTCCTTGATGGAAATGATCAACATGTTCCACAAATACACCAGACCTGATGATACCATGGACAAGCAGGGCCTGTTGAAGATGATGAAGGAGAGTTTCCCCAACCTCCTCAGTGATTGCGTGAGTTGGGGTCTGGCTTCTCAATGTTAGCTGGGCCTTGGCATGGCTGAGGATGCATTTTGTTTTGTGACCTATGACAAGCCACCCTCATCTACTGGTTCAAAATGTTCTCATCTGCAATAGAGAGATAATAGGACTTATTTCCTAGATCATTGAGGGGATCTAAAGATAATGTAGATGAAAAAAATTCCAAATGGGGAAGAGTTATACAGATAAAAAGTGTTCTCATTAGATAATCAGCAAGGGTAAAACCTGAGGGCAGTGAATGATCCTTCTCTGCTGTCACTGACACTCTCCATGAAACTAAACCTCCCATGATCAGTCCCTGCCTCTTAAAGCCTCCAAATCAACATTCCTGAGATTAGAGGTAAGGTGGTAGAAATTCCATCACCAATAGAAATAAACGTTCACTTTACAATTGAGGAAGCTCAATAACAAACCAGAAACAAAAACTGTGGTCACTATGTAACATAGAGTCTGGGTGACCAAGAACCAGGAACTCAGAACAGATGAGTTCACGTGGAAAAAGGGAAGAAAAAGGAAGAAAGTTAGAGAATGAAAAGAACAAGGTGTAAGAAATTATTTTGAGTGCATGGGGTAGATTTAGGGAGGGCATGGTACCCTTAAAGGCTGGGGACAGGAGAGTGGGTAGGGGCTGAAGACTCCCTACCCCCACAACCCTTTCCAGAGCACATCTGGGCAGAATCTGCCTCCCACCCTGAGGTCTTCCACTGACGCTGATGTTTGAGCTGTGGAATCCTCCCAAAGAGCTTCTGGGTAACACTCACATCCCCACCACATCTTCCCATCAGCCACACTCATGCAGATCCAGGAGCTTGTCAATGTCTCTGCCTCTGCCTCCTCCCTTCTCAGCCCAAAACTGCTTTGTGACTGAATTTTCCTTCTTTGTCTGTTTCTCTACTCACAGGACAAAAAGGGTAAAGATTACCTGGCCAATCTTTTTGAGAAAAAGGACAAGAATAAGGATCAGAAGATTGACTTTTCCGAGTATCTCTCCCTGATGGGGGACATAGCCGTGGGCTACCACAACCAGAGCCATGGAGCGCCACCCTGTTCCGGGGAAAACCAGTGATTCCACCCAGCCCATGGCCTTCAGGAATCCCAAGAAAAATAAAATGTCTTCTCCCACCTGACACATGCCTTATGTCCTTCTTCTCTTTGATGACTTATGTTGTCAAAACTGCCAATTCTGTGTTATCTTTGTTGGAGAATCCCCCTCCCCCTAGTAGATCACCCAGGAGTGTGTCCACATTGTCCCTGTTGTGGCCTCCAGCAGAGCTGAGCCATCTCTCACAAGACTCTGTGTCCTCCTCTGTTCCTGCTCCCTAAAAGCATCACCAGGGGAGCTTCCAGGTGATGGTTGGTGCAAAGATTCTGCGAGGTCACAGAGATGTTCCCTTTGTCAAAGCATGTCTCAGATCATTCAGTAATGCACTGAGAAAGATCCGAGGTCCCTCTGCGTGCTCCTGCCCACATGCTCCTGCCCCGGCTATTCCTCCAGGGCATGGGAGACAGGTACCACCTACATGGAGCCTCCTTAAAGGGCCACACTCAGGAAATTTGTGGCTATGAATGGGAGGCAGGCCAGTGCCCTGAGGATTCATAGGGCTTTCTTGGTCTGTGGTTCCCTTGTCCTATGGCCTAGGCTCCTGGGGCTGTGTCCTTGTTCCTGTGTTGTAGGTTATTGTGCATATGTCTATGTGAGGGACCCTGTGGACATGAGAGGAAGTCATCCTGATGCTGAGCAGTCCTCAGTGATGGTTTGCTACATGCAAGGACTGGGCTTCTGAGGCCACTCATATGGCAATGAATGAATATTACAGGTTTTGAGTATCTCAAGGTAGCCTGGAAGTCAACACAACCCAGAGGATCCAAGTTAGGAGACAGGACTGAATAAGGCAGCACTAGTGGGAAAGCCTTAAGGACTGACACAGAGAACTCAGGTTGAGTGTGACAAAAATTGCAGCCCTTCTCCCTGCCAGGTAAAGAGCAGCTTGTTATCAAAAGTGTATTGTAGACCAGGCACTGTGCCTGCAGCTAAGGGTCAGGAGAACAAGGAGGGCACAGGCTGCCTAAGCAGAGCACTGGCTATGCCCAAAGATGTGGATACCTCTTCGGGGTCCACGATAACTGTCAACATACACCTACCCTCAGTGTCACTTCCAGAGCAAGCTCCAAGTGGCTGTCCTTTTTTTTCAGTTGGAGTCTCACTCCGTCGCCCAGGCTGGAGTGCAGTGGCACACTCATGGCCACCCCAGTGTAGATCTGCTGGGCTCTGGTGATCCTTCCACCTCAGCCTTCCAAGTCGCCAGAACTACAGGCAGGCACTATTATGCCCAGCTAATTTTTTATTTATTGTAGAGATGAGGTCTCACCAAGTTGCTGGGGCTAGTCTCAAACCCGCGGATTCAGGCAATTCACTCGCCTCAGCCTCCCAAAGTGCTGAGATTACAGGCTGAGCCACCACACCCAGCCCCCAGTGGCTGCTCTTAACACCCATCTTTGAGGCTCATGTCATCTGTCCATGTTACTCCTGCCCTCTTGTCACAGCCCCTGCTAACTCTCAATCCTGCAAATGTTGTTCATGGAGGAATTTGGCAACTACCTCAAAATTATCTTTCCTTCCCATCAACAGGAACATGTGAGTGAGTTCTTTGACTTTGTGGATGACTGGTCCATTTCCTGTTTGCAATGTTCCTGGAGCACCTCTATTCACAGACCATTGTCTTCTCTCCACCTCAGGAGCCTCCTTTCCTGGCTTTATTCTGCAGCTTGTCATCATTCAAGAATTATCTGCAGTTTTCACCCAAGTCTGGCCATTCTTTTTCTTCTCCCTTCTTATCTCCCTCCTCTTTCTCATCCCATCTTTTCCTGGAACTCACAGAGACCTGCAGTTCCTGGGTTGTTCATGTTCTCTCTTTCTCAATGCCTGCTGCCTTCCCTTTGCAGCCTGCTCCCCACAATCGACCAAACATATTGCTCTCTTATGTACCCTGGGTGTGTTGCCCACTCTCTTTGAGCCACAGCACCCCTCCACATCTTCAACCCTTAATCTTCCTCCCCCGTTTCCCTCCTTTCTCCTACAGCAGAACTGCTGGTCACTACTAGGAACCGTCATGCCAAGATCCCAAGAGATGATGTCTGTCTTTCTCTCCTCCCAGAAAGACAGGCCACATCCATAACCACAGTCTAGGGTTCCAGAAAGACAACAAATAGAAATTTAATTTGGTTTTAACCAGTTTTCAAAGAATTTCAAGGAGTTGAGTTGGGCCTTAATATATCAGATTGGAAGAAGAATATTATACACTAGCATCTACAGTCCTATTGATTAAAATTGAACCTTTATTTTGAAACAGACTAGAGCTAGAATTAGCTTGATTAAGAGTAATTAGTGCCGGGCCCGGTGGCTCAGCCTATAATCCCACACCTTTGGGAGGCTGAGGTGAGTGGATTGCCTGAGCCCGCGGGTTCGAGACTCGCCTGGGCAGGCGAGATCTCATCTCTACAATAAATCAAAAAAATTAGCCGGGCATGGTAGCGTGTGCCTGTAGTTCCAGCTACTTGGAAGGCTGAGGCGGAAGGATCGCCAGAGTCCAGCAGATCGAGGCTGCGGTGGCCAGGAGCAGCCACTGCACTCCAGTCTGGGGAACAGTGATACTACAACTCAAAAAAAAAAAAGAGTAATTAGTAGCTATTATGCATATATTCGAATTTAAGAAAAAAGAACACTTGACAATTCTGTGCCCACACTCACATTACAGCAAACATTGAAGATGATTCTGGGAATCCAAAATGTTCTCAGAAATTCTTACATCATAGGACTCTAGTAACTTTAGAATATTGAATTTTAAAAAGACAAGTTTCTTGATGTGCTGTCCAAGGTGCTGAATTCATGTGGTCTTTTCACTCAACCCACTGGGGTCTCCCATTACTTACACCTAACTCAGGCCTTACCACCTTTTCTATGAGAATGCTCATTATTTTCCCAGGTAAACTTAAGACCTGGAACGTTTTCCTGTTTTTGCTTATTTTCTTCTCCATGGTAAATAAAGCATCAACACCACCATTTACTAATCACGTTATTAAAGGATGAATTATTGACTTTTTATTTTTCTTTTTTTTGAAAATAGAAAACTAGCTGACCTTGGTGGCTCAGCCTGTAATCCCAGTGCTTTGGGAGGCTGAGGTGAGTGGATTGCCTGACCCCGCGGGTTCAAGACCTGCCTGGGCAACTTGGCGAGACCTCATCTCCACAATAAATTAAAAATTAGCCAGGCATGGTAGTGCGCACCTGTAGTTTCAGCTACTTGGAAGGCTGAGGCAGAAGGATCGCTGGAACCCAGCAGGTCAAAGCTGCAGTGGCCGGAAGCGTGTCACTACACTCCAGTCTGGGTGACAGTGAGACTCCAACTCAAAAAAAAAGAAAATAGAAAACTAACATAAGACCACAAGTACTATGCAATTGCCTTCCTAGGATAAAAATTCCCAGAAAAGAATCTACCCCCGTTTTCTCCCGATATAAAATATGTGGTTGTGGCTACTTGATATCTGAGTCTCAGACATAGATAGTGAATTCTCACCTTGAAATCTGCAAGGGGAACAGTCCCAAATACAAGGAGACAATGCCTCTGCCCAACTCTCCAGGACTTCTGACATAAAAGAAAAAAGTAACTACAGGTTAGTTCTGCCTTTTACATTGAATATAGTGACAGGAACAACTTATGCTTTTGACCTTGACCTTGTTTAGCCCTAGGAGGTGATAAGAAAGAACCTGGGGACTGGTGAGACTAAAGACCTTGGGGAAAAGCTACAACTGGAGTGACTCAGGAGCTGAGGGCTCACGAGAACCCTAAACTATAGGTGATCTGGATGTGGGCCCTGAGGGAAGGGCATTTGCGGATCCAGGACCTGAAAATGACTTCTCCAACTTCAGTATCTATGACTAAATTGAGATGATGTCTGATGGTTTTTAATAAAGAGGGAGCATTATGGAGTTTCTGTCAACATGCCAAAACTGCGGAGTCAGTTTTTAGGAATTATTTGCTGTTGATTAAACTCTACCATATTTCTCTGTGTAGCCAAGAGAAAACCTGTTCACATGTGGTTATGGTTTTCTAAAGCGTTGACTGAAAATAGAAAGCATTCCTCAGAAGATATTCAAGATAATCACAAGAGATAGTGGTTGTAAGTATGCTAACCCAATGTGATGTGGGAATATTATTCATGAGAGATGCAAAGTTGAGGAAATAAATTGGATCCAGTCTAACAGTGTTGACGGATTAGAATCAGAATGAGAGAGTTCATTGAGGTATCAGGAAATTTACCAGAAAGAGTACTTGCAAGTGAAAAAGAACAAGGATGACTTAAGATTGTGTCTTTTTTAGGTTCTGTTGGGACACAAAAGTCAAATGAAATGTACTTTCCCGGGACATACCTGGTTAATGCTTCCCTCAGCAAATGTTTATTCATCAACCCAATACAGGGTCCCATTGACCAGAAATGCAAGAATTTCATATCCTTAGAGCTAGAAGGCACCTCAGAGGTAAACTATTCTCAACTTACCAACTTATAGCTAAGGAAACTGAGACCCAAGAAAAATGGACTTGCTCAAGAATATGAAGATCTAGCCGGGCTCGGTGGCTCAACCTGTAATCCCATGCCTTTGGGAGGCTGAGGTGAGTGGATTGCCTGAGCCCGCGGGTTCGAGACCCGCCTGGGCAGTGAGACCTCATCTCTACAATAAATCAAAACATCAGCCGGGCATGGTAGCACGCACCTATAATTCCGGCTACTCGGAAGGCTGGGGTGGAAGGATCGCCAGAGCCCAGCAGATCGAGGCTGCAGTGACCGGGAGCGGCCACTGCACTCCAGTCTGGGCGACAGAGTGAGACTCCAACTCAAAAAAAAAACGAATACGAAGATCTTTAGTGACAGAATGAGGACTTAAATGTATGTTTTCTGATTCTTCAATGAGCTCTCTTATTCTGGTTCCAATCTGTCAACACTGTTAGACTAGATCCCATTTATTTTCTCCTCAATGTTGCATCTCTCATGAATAATATTCCTGCATCA